TCCCAGTAACATGCACAACAACATGAAATTCTCCACCAAAGATTGGGATCAGGACACTTCAAGGAAGAACTGTGCATCCCGCTCTGGGGGTGGGTGGTGGTTTTCGTCCTGTTATTCCGTGCGGCTGAATTTCAAGGGTGGCATGACATAGTGTCTTACTTATTTCTGGGAGAGAACATATGGCTGTTGCCGCCTGTGCTCATCCTACAGAATAAAACTGCTTTCAGAACCAACACAGACATGTGAAAATGTCTTTCATCTGCTGCCAGCATTAGCCAGGAGCAGACCTGTGGCTCCTGTTTCAATAAGAAATCAGAGAGGAATATTTTCAATGAAACAAATGGGGAATTAAAGACAAAACTAGAGTTCATCTGGAGGGCAAGCGAGGAAGACCCTGGATGAAATAAAAGACTGTTAGTTGGACTGTCATGTTGATGAAAGGACACTAGACCTATTACTAGAGTAATAGAGACCACGGAATAGAGGATTTGGAACTTCATAAATCACTATCTGAGGTAGGTGTGTATATGTTAATTACCTCTCAGGTAATTGATGAATATGTACTATCAATTGAAATATAATGGACTCTGAACCATGTCATCTTTGAAGCACTTAAGGTGGAATATCCCTAGTGCTTCCCAGTGTCACTAATAAAGAATACCTGTTCCTATGCATCCATTTCTTTGATCCAAAACTAATGTATTAGAAAAAGTAAAGAAATAGGAGAGAATACAATATAAAAGGAATCAACAGTAGTAAATCAAGCAAATGGGAGAGAAACGTCTTCCTAACTGCGCTGCGGAATGGCAGTGTGGCCAGAAGGGCCATGCTTACTTCACCTTTCCTCACAGAAACCATGTGGGGATGTGCAACGCTGCTGGGAACTGTAGTTCCCACCTATCGACCCCAAGAACTGCAGCTTCACAGCATACAGCTCTGACAGCATACTGCATGATGTTCTGATATGGAATTCCTGTGAAAAACTGTGACAGTGAGGGAATAAAGAAACTTCTTCTTAAAGCAGTGATGGAAATGCACTAACCTTGGGTCAGATTGCCACTATTGGCATTAGCCCAAATAGAGGCAATACCTAGAGGAGACAGAGGGTTCTTCTCTATGGAATGCCCTACCCAAATAATCCCCAACCTGGAGGAGAGAAGCAACCAAGCAATATATAGCTCACGCAAGATGGGGAGGTGTGAGTGTGGTGAGGGTGTGCTCTGCCTTTAAACCCAGGACAGGAATGGCTCAGCAATGTCCCGTTCCTTCCCCCAACTTATGGGTGAGGTTTCTCAGTGGAGTGAGAACAGCCCATAGCGGGAGTGGGGTGTGTGAGAGTGGTGGAGACAGCTCCTAATAGGGAAGCAGAAATGTGCTCTACATAGAGCCATAAGCTCATTGGGCTGCCTCAAAGCACTGGAAGGAGGTATTGCACAGCGCACTGTGGTGTGGCAGAAACAGCAGCTGTGCTTGGAAACTGGAACAGATTTGCAAACACCTTCTGTGGAGGGTGAATGTGTGAATCCTGATCTCTCTGGGCCAGAGTGAGTGAAGACTTGGGTGGATAGCGCTAGGACAAAGAGGAATGGTTTTAAAGTGAGACAGGTGAGGTTTAGGTAAGATATTAGTGGGAAGTCTTTCACTCTGACGGTGGTGAGGCGCTGGAACAGGTTGCCCAAGGAGGCTGTGGATGCCCCATTCCTGCAGGCATTCAAGGCCAGGCTGGATGTGGCTCTGGGCAGCCTGGTCTGCTGGTTGTCGACCCTGCATGTAGCAGGGGGTTGAAACGAGATGGTCATTGTGGTCCTTTTCAACCCAAGCCATTCTATGATTCTATGATATGATTCTACGACTCCTGGCCTGTCTGGGCCGGACTGGGCAAAGAAAAATTGTCTGGTGCCACGTATGCACTCCAGAACAGAGTGAACAACAAGAACATGTGTACTTCATTTACATGTATCTTTGGTACGAGCTAAAAAAGAGGGCAACCAAATCATCATGCTGGTGGCTGCACACGGCTGAGCTGGCCGTGCCAGGCGGAAGGGACTTTCACTGCACTTCCCCGCTGGGATTCTCCCCTTGCAGGTGACGCTGATCAAGCCCCAGTAGCCACGGGCGGCACGGGGCTGGAACTGAGAGCTCGGTCCAACTGCAGGTGCCGGCAGCGTGCGCTACAGCTTTTTCCTGGCTGGAGTGCGAGGCGGAAAAGGCGTGGAGGGCGCGGCTTCAGGCCAGCCGGGAGATGTCACAGCACAGATGACATCACCCGGAGCCCGCGTGCTGTCACAATGCACTGCCATGACGACGCCGGGCCCTCCCCAAGGACAGCTGCCCGCCGGCTCCAGGCACCTCATTCGTGAGCTGTGCTGCCCGCAGCCGCTCGCCGTGCGCTGTGCCCGAGAGCAGCCCCAGCAGCAGACCAGCTCAGCCTCTTCGCGCTCGTCCTCCAAGGCTCTCAGAGGTGAGGGAGAGCTCCAAAACGCTTCAGGCTGCAGAGCCCGGCCGCAGGATGCGGGCTTAGCTCCGCTGTGCGCGAGGGGCGTGCAGCACGAGACTGGCAGGACTGCCGTGAGCAGGAGAAATTGCTGCCGGCCCTTCTGGCTCGGGAGCTGCAAGCCATGTGGCGGGCGGCTCGCGGCTGGGCAAATGAGACAGCCCTCTCCTGCCTGCCCCTCTGGGCTCCGAGGGGCGGGGGGCAGGAAGCAAAGCTCACCCGCGGCCTCTGCCGGGGCAGCCCGTCACTAACTCCTCTGCTCTTGCCTTTAGGTTTGGAGGCACGTGCCTGCCAGCATGGACGGAGCCTGGGTGGGGACGTGGAGACCTCATCGCCCACGCGGCCTCATCTCGGCCCAGTTCCCCAGCCCCGGGCCCCAGTACTCCATCCCGGGGACAACAGGTACAGCGGCCATCCCCAGGGCGGGGCGCGCATCGGGGACATCACGGGGCAGAGCAGCTCCCGAGCCTTTCCCCGTTCCGGCAGAGCCTCCCACAGACTCAGCTCGGCAGCTGCACAGAGGCGCTCTGGGGGCTCTCGCTATGGAGTGCCTGCACGCGTGGTGCGGGAAGGCCTTTGGAAACTGCTGGCTACAGGCAGCGTGCTGGCCAAAGCTCCGCTCTCTTTTTCCGGTGACTTTGCAAGGCGCTGGCTCAGCCGTTTGCACTCAGGGGCTGACTCTTGTGCGCTGCGAGGCCCCGCACGGCTCGCCTCTGTTGGTCTGGGAGGAAGAAGTCACGGGAAGGGAATGTCAGGGGGCCAGGCGCCTAACTGCGCCTAACTGCTCCACAGGAGCTTGAAACGTGCAGCTGCTCAGGGGTGTGCTCTCTTCTGCTTTTCCTCCTAGGTTTCGTGGGCCACAGCCCCACCAAAGCCCGTGCCCCCGCATACACGTTTCGCGGGACCAAACCGCCTGCGGCCGAGAGCTGCGGGCCAGGTCCCTGCTACTTTGTGGAGCCCGCCATCTCCAGGAACGGGAAGTACGTGGCTCCAAGCGCCCACCTTCACGGACGACCCATGACGGAGACCACCGTCACCCCCGGACCCAGTGAGTACCACTTCTGCAGCGCTTCCCCCACACAGGACGAGCACGGGGCGTTTGCCCTGGGTCAGCTCGTGCCCTGATGGAGCTGTAGGTCTTTTGCGAGAGAACACAAACGGCTCTGAGCAGCGATAAACGCCCTCGGAGAAGGACCGCTGCCCAGCACCACGGGCTGAGGGCACAAGGACCCCGCGTCCGAAAAGAGCAAAGAGTCAGGGGCTGACAGGAGGGACAGCACGGCAGGACATAGTGGCGGGGCATGGAAAAGCGTCCCCGCGTGCTGCCTGGGTCCCCCAGCAATCCTGCAGCTCTTCAGAAGACCCTTTCCTCGGGCCATTGTCTCTGCGGCTGCAGAGGGAGACCAGTGCTTCACAGCTTTCTTCCTCTTCTCCTCTGCCCCAGGTGACTACCGCACCGAGGCAGCCAACAGGCACATCTTCAAGTGCCCCCCGGTGCAGTCCATGGCCTTCCGGCGGGAGCCCTTGCGGACAGACCACCCTCCAGGTACGCCGACCCTGGCAAAGGCAGAGCCTTCAGCCTGAGCATCGTCCAGGGACGGGCTGCTGCTCAGCACCAGCAGCGGGCCTACTGCGCAGCCTGCGCAGCGCTGGGGCCGCAAGCTTTCTGGCATGACCAACACCTCTCGGCCCGCAGCGGCTCCAGCTGCTCGGGCTCAGAGCTGCCGGCACTGGCCCAGTGCCAGAGTAGAGGGAGGAACTGGCAGAGGGGCGAGACCTCCCAGCAGCAGGCTGGGCAGGCTGCCCCTCTCTGCTGCTTCCATCTCCTCCGGCCCCTCGCGCACACGCTCTCTGCTGCTCCTCCTGCAGGTCCGGGCACCTACACACTGCCCAGGCTGATGGGCCCCAATACGGCCTACACGTCGGCCAGCCCCTGCTACTCCATGAGGGGAAGGAGCCAGCGCGGCCGCTTTGACGAAGACCTCGCCAAGGTGA